TGCTGTCCAAGATTTTTTTTTATGGTATCTGCCCCTTTTTTTTCTTTAGCAATCAAAGTAGAATTGTGATTTTGGTTTTACCTAAACATTAAGATTATCAAATTTGCCTACAAAAAATTTATGATTTTCAATTTATTTGAGAAAAAAAAAGGATAATTACACATACGGTCCATGAACTTTGGCCCATTGTACAATGTCGTCCATGTTTTAATTTGTTCATCTGATCCCTGAATTTTATAATGTTAATTAGATAATTTGGATCCTACTTCCCATACCAAACCAAGTTATCTCCTCAAACAATGGATTCATTAGTAAAAATTGAGTTGGTTGGACTTAGAACTACTATTCTCTAAGGGATATAAATAGGTCATCTAAGTCAAACTATCTTATTATCTAATATGATATGTGATATCAGAAAAACACACCTTCAGTTGAGAGGGCAATTGGAGGTTAGTATAGAATTCTTTACGTTTCCGCATTCGATTTTGATTATGCATGGTTTTTGTTTATCCCGTTGAAGGACATGCTTATAGAAAAGTTTTTTTTGTGCCAATTATAAAAGTTCAACAGCATGATTTTCATTCATAGAAAAAAAATTATGTTGGTTAATTTTTTGAATTTTATAATGTTTAATGAAAAATCTTGCTTTCAGGACCAAATCAAGTTAGCTCCTCACAATGGTTGGATTTTTAGCAATATAATTTAATGAGCTTTCCATTGATGTTAAAATTGAGTTGGTTGGATACAAAACCGTAGCTCTCTAGGGATTATCCAGTTGAAAAACATGCTTATAGAAATATGTCATTTAACTTTATAAAAATCAATCATCAAACATAAGATTTTACTTATGAATGAAAATCATTTTGGTTGGATGTAGAAATGTAGCCTGCAAAGCATGCTTATAGAAAAGTTCAACAACAAAATCTTTATACATAGGTAAGATCTCATGTTCTTTGGTTCTTGAACCTAATGATATCAATCATATGTTTTCTTCCGTTTGTTATGATGATTTTGCTTCCTTGAACAAACCAAGTTAGCCCCTCTGCCAATAATGGTTAGATTTCTAGAAATGTAATTAAATGAGCTTTGCATAGGTGTAACAATCGAATTGGATGTATTAGAACCGTAGTTCTCTAGGGAATGATGCGGTTAAAATGCATGCTTATAGAAAAGTTCAACAGCATGATTTTCATTCATAGGTAAAGTATTATGTCCGTTGATTTTTTTGAACTTTATAATGTTTTATGACATATTTTCAACCTACTTTATCGACCAAACGAAGTTAGCTCCTCGATCGATTGTTTGATTTTTAAATATACATTTCAATGAGCTTTCTGCAGGTGTAAAAATCGAGTCTGATGGAATAAGATTGTAACTCTCTAAGGGATAATTTAGTTGAAAAGCATATGTATGGAGAAGTTCAACCGCATGATTTTCATTCATAGATAAATCCTATTTAGTGAGTTTCCGTAGGTATAAAACTCTAGATGGTTAACTTAACCGTATCTCACCAAAAATGTAGAAGATTCTTTTGCTCCAAGCATCACAGAACGAACTTGAGTTTAAGAAACGTTGGAGTGCAGGCGATTTTTGTAGAATAATGTGACAATCAAAAGTATATACTTAGAAATCCAGAAAGCGAATTCTATGTTGTTAACATAGAAGCCATCGAGACAAAGCCAGATGCGGGAAACTGACATCACCAGCCATAGAAATTAAAAAACACGAGAAAAACAATTCTCCATTTAATCATGCATGCCTCTCTAGCACAATTAAAATTAAATTAAATTAAACTTGAAAAGCATAGTGGTAAGTCACAATTATCGTTAACCCTCAGCCTTAACTTCACAGCATAAATAGATAAATTGTAGATGGCGGACTTTCAATGCGCCCCGGTTCAAGAACCAGAACGACAACTAACAGAGATTAATGGTCTAGAAAGCAAAATCAAGATTTTCTAAATAACATTTCACGGTGTGCTTTTATATTACAGAATGACTAAACTGATAAATACATTGCATGGTTCAAACTTATCCTGTTTCTTGGACCAGAACAAGTTAGCTTCTAGCCAATTGTTTGATTTTTTTAAATGTAATTTAATGAGCTTTCCATAGCTCTAAAAATCGAGCTGGTTGGATGTAGAATGGTAGCTGTTAAAAACGTAGAGCTAAAGATCTTTCTCTAGGGATGATCTAGTTGAAAAGCATGCTTATAGGATAGTTCAACGGCATGATTTACATTTATAGATAAAATCTTTATGTTCCTTTATTTCTTGAACTGCTTCTCGAAACAAACAAAGTTAGCTCCTCATGGAATGGTTTGATTTTTAGCAATGTAATTTAATTATAGCTATCCAGGAAAAATCGAGTTGGTTAAATTTAGAATTGTAGCGTTGAAGGGTTGATCCAGTTGAAAAGTATGTTAATTAAAAAGTTCAATAAAATGATTTTTATTCATAGGTAAAACCTCATTTTCGTTGATTTCTTGAACAACATAATTGTTAATGAGGATGATCTTGCTGTGTCGACCAAACCAAGTTACCTCCTCAGCCAATTGTTTGATTTTAGAAATGTAATTTAATGAGCTTTCTATAACTCTAAAATTGAGTTTATTGGATTTAGAATCATAGCTCTATAGGCAATGATCCAATTGAAAAGCATGCTTATAGAAAAATTAAACAGCATGATTTTCATTCATAAGTTAGGTTTAATCCAAGAAAAAGAATACTTGAGCCAAAATTAAATAAAAAAACCATACTTGAGGGAAAAGAGGCGATGTGTACAATAAAAAAATGATGAACTTGTTGATCTTTGTAAAATTAGTTCTTAGATATAATCTTAATGATCTAGCAGTGTGTAACAATCATCAAATCCATTTGAAGAATCCTCCAGTGAACAATGAGCTTGGCTCTATGATTGACTCATTTTAACTTTTTTGGGCCATGCCTCATTAATAGACTAGATGCCGATGTGGAGACGATGAAATGTGTCCTGCCCTTAGGCTATACATTGATACATATGCTGTATATAAATAATTTTGGACATTTAATTTTTATCGATTTGTCTTTATAGTATCTATTTTTTCACATTGGATAATGACACAAATGATCCATGAACTTTGACCCAATGTGCAATGTAATCCCTGAACTTTAGCCTTATGTGCAATGTAGTCCATGAACTTCTAATGTGTTCAATGTGGTCCATAGACTTTTGGTGCATATTCAACTTAGTCCTTGGACAACATTGAACATTTTCAAGTGGTTCAACGACTAAATTGAATATATACCAAAAGTTAATGGATCAATTGAATAAATTGAAAGTTCATTGACCATATTGCACATTGGGCTACAGTTCAGGGACCACATTGTACATTGAGCCAAAGTTTATGAACCATTTATATCATTTTCCCTTTTCACATATAGGTATGGCCAACAAAACTATAAAATAGTTGGTTTGTGTAATATATATGTGTGTGTGTGTGTGTGTGTGTGTATATATTACAGGGTTATATCACGAAAAACCCTAAACTATTACACATGTGACAAATTTGCCTCGAACTAATTTTTTTACCACCAAAAATCCTAAATCGGTACACTTGTGATAAATTTACCCTCCGTAGTTTCCGTTAAATTTTACTATCAAATTGCTGAGTTGGATAACTCGTGACAATTGATAAATATACTAGTTTAGGGTTTTACCTCTCCATTTATCACTGGTTTACCAATTGGTGATTTTTTGCGGTATTAATCTAATTTAGAGGAGAGTAAATTTATCACAGGTATACCGGTTTTGGGTTTTTGGTAGTTAAAAGATTAGTTCGGGGTAAATTTGTCATAGGTGTACCAGTTTGGATTTTTCGTGGTATTAACCCTCTTTTTTACTTACCTGGCCAAAACACTGTCACTCAATATCTATGTTCAGTATACTTATTCACCATGTCTAGGGGCTTATTGTGTTATTGTCTGATGCATTTACCATTTATACTCATAGAGCGACATATTTCTAGCTTATTTTTTATGATTCGTTCGATTTTATTCATTTACAATGCAATCTTGTAATTCGATTTTATACACCCCTCGACGATATTACTCTAAAAGGCAATTTTAACGAGGCCGTTACACCAGTTAAAAGCTAACCAGCGGATGTGGTAAGGCACCCATGTGTTAGGAACATGTTCTTTTCTTTTTCTTTCCTTTTTTTATTAAAGGGCGTGAGAGTAGAGGTATTATTACCTAATGGCCCATGAAGCATCCTTCGAACCTCACAGATTGATTAAGTCCATATCTTTAGCCTATCCAAATGACCCTCGTCCCGAAGTAGTTTGCACCCAGTCAGTAGAATCTACAACCGTCAAATGGGTGGGTCGGGTCGAAAATGGTCCGACCCAAATTGACACATTTAACTCGTTTTGACGGATTTATATACAGCACAAATTCAGTGACACATACCTGACCTGACCCGACCCGACTCACATTACTAAAACACATAGATATTTAAAAACAAGAATTTTTATGCTATGTGTGTAGTGTAAAAGATAAAAATTTTAATAACTTTATAAGGTTTCAAATAAGAATTTCGGTCCTTACCAAAAAAAAATAAGATTTTCGACTTGTTTGTAACTTTTTCTTTTTTGCAACTTTTTTGTGTTTCACAGTGAAGCATCTGTTATCTCTTAAAATCATTAAGTCAATAAATATTGACACGTAAAATCATATACTAATTTTCGCGATTTTCCAAAGCTTGAAAGATCATTTTTTACTATTTTTCAATATTAAAAAAAAAAAAGATCATAAGTAGAAGATAAAACTAGAAAATAAGTTGCCCTATCCTTGTGCAAAAAAATTGCCCTACCTAGAAAACCCCACTGAACCTGAAGACAAGTGAAGAGAGACTGCAAGTGGGTTGCAGCTAGGGAAGGAATTACCCAACTCACAACAAGAAATTTAATCTCTTTGTCCGAGCACAGCCTCACGACCGAATCTAACTATCCTTAACAAACAGCCGGCGACACTTGCAATGCTCCTAAAGAGGCCTCTCATGCCGCGACAATCAGCAGATACGAAGACATTCCTCCCAACTGCGAGTCTGCCCTTAGGAAGGCGGTGGCTCCCCAACCAGTATCCGTCACCATCGATGCGGGCGAACCTGCTTTCAAGTTTTTCTCGAGTCGTGCCTTCACCGAAGACTGCAGAACCAATTTGGACCATGTGGTCACCATGGTCTGGTATGGAATGAGTGAGACCGGAATTAAGTATTGATTCGCTAAGAATTCGCGGGGCGCCGGATGGGGTGAGCAAGGATTTGTTAGGATGCAGAGGGACGTGGATTCTGCAGAAGGTCTTTGCGGCGTCACCATGGAAGTGCTTCCTATCCAACTACATAATTTGTATCAATCTATTAGGTCGGATCATGGTGGTAGCACTTGCATAATGGCGCTTGTGAACTCTTACTAGAAAGTTTTAACACCGAACGACGGATCACCCACCACGTGTCGTTTCGCTTCTCACACTGTGTGAGACAATTTCCCAAACTCGAATATAGAGATAGCAAACGGACCATCCCAAAGCAGGGCGACATGGCACGGCACGCAACGAGCCGTGCCGGCACGGCCGTGGCCCGGTTCTGAGTATGCTTCAAGCAATCATCTCACCCCCTAAGCCTCCACCCCATCGTTTTAGACCCGCAGAGGCCCTTAAGCAAATCCTGTGGATAATCATAATTAGCCAGTCAAAATGGACAAAAGTGGAAAACGATGGCGTCACCAACCCCACAAAAGTCTAAGAAAGTAGCAATTATCTTTAAGACTACCCCACTTCAAATATTCAAGAATTTCAAAGGGGGATGAAAGGTGAGATGACGTTAAAGTCAAATTGGCAAACTCCTTTTCCACCCAATTTGTCCATCGTGTCCAACACCCATGGTCCTGTGCGTCGTCCAACACAAGTCTTCCCACCTTTTTTCTCGTGCTATGGGAAGCCAAATCTGATTGCACAACCCTTTTCCTCCCCCATTTTCTAATTTTTTTATTTCATTCTTTATTTTTCCTTTCCCTGCCCAATGATGGATCACAGCAAGTGGACAATCTTAGAGAAGAATCTAGGGAGATAAGTAGACTGAATAGTCGTCAACCCAAAAGATACGTAGACACCAATGTCTCCGTGGAAACAATGTATCCACCCAAAGATGAAGGTTGCTTGATTCAAGATCAATTTTTCTCCAATTGGGTACACAAGAAGTCTAACAACTGACCCAAAATTTGTTAGTTGGTCAAAGACAGCAATTACTCGTTACCAAAACCGGAATGACATGTAGTAACTAGCAACTCATAATGATCCTTTGGAAAGATGAATCTAACCTAATTCAAACCCGGTTAAGATTCATTGAGACACTTGATGGGCACATTCTCTTACCATTCACCACTTTTGTCCTCCCAAACTTGAAGACTGAGGCATCTAAAGGAACCAGAATCTTGACATGATGTACACATTTGTGGCATCACTTGTTCAATGACCAAAACAGAGGGAAACCGAAAGAACATGAATCCCCATTCAGAGTAGAAAAGGCGGCAACAGAAATTTACACAAGCATAATTAAAATAATTCTTCTTTTTGCTCATCAATTCGAGCGAAGCTGCAGCGAAGAGGTGGCAAAATTCCCAGTATCACTTTTCAAACGGTATGAACTAAGAATTTGCACTCCCTCTCACCTAGTTTTCCTTCCTACCTCGAGTTCTCTACGCAATTATCGTGTAGATCGGCAAAGACAGTGAACGCCCAAGGAAACTTAACAGAACCATAGAAAACTAAAAATATAGTACTGCTTGTATCATCTATAGCCATAGTTAGACGACAAGCATGCACTACCCAATTGGACCCTCTCAAGAAGCCCCATATTCCACCTCAATACAAACTGCATCTATAAATTGGTATGAATCATCCAACCCAGACCCAACAGAGCATTCCTAAGTAACTATAGATTGAAGTTACCACAGCATAGCCATTTTCGCTTACCCTCGGAGAACATGAAACTGTTACCTTTAATTACCAGAAAAAGTTCTTACAAGCAACAAAAAGATCCCCATTTCCCGACTTTTCTTGCTCAAGGCTGAGATCAAATCCCACCCGATAGTAACCAAAAGGCCCTAACTTTTCCTTTTTTCAGCCAATCACTGCTCCATCTATATCCCATGATTCGGGCCATGAAAAATATGTACAGGAGCAATTCAAGCCAATTAAAAACCTAAGACTCTGAAAACTCTGAGGGCTCGAAAAAGCGATCTACATGAAGCATTCCACGATTTTCATGTATTGGCAGATTGTGACGGCACCCTGGGGTGGTTATGTTCACCTTCATAAGTGACAATAAGCATAGACGAGTCCTCCAAGCACCTTTCCACATGCTTCCTTGCAGGGCAACCTCTCATGCTGCTACATTTGTAGTATCCCCTGCAACATAAAATAGAAGATTAGAAGGAGCTCGCATAACAAGACCTCCCTACTTCAGAAGCCATAGCAGAGAGCCTTGATTATCAAATAGATCACGGTTGCTAACTCACAAGAGAAACTCAGAGCACCTTCAAAATCCCAGATGCAAATTTAGCAGCCGAATAACGAGATGTTAATCTTTTTCATTTTAAGAATGAAAACTCTACCAGAGTACCGTATCTCCAAATGAAAAACCATCTAATAGTTGTTCTAGGGAATTCTGGGAGTCTTAAAAGTAAGCCAATGAAAATACAATAGTTAACAACACCATAACCGAACTCTACTCCAATTGACCCAAGCTCTTCCACCATTTATTAGCCAAGACAAACAGAATGCCAATCAACGAATCAGACAAGCACAGGTGAGAGCTAATTAGGGAAATACAACTCAACTTGCAAGTACCTTGCATATGTTAAAGCAGAGGCAATCATACCTAGGATGAGGAGAACCCTTGATGGGCTTCTGCCCGTACTTCCTCCACGAGTAATCATCGGGAGGAATATCTGCAAGCTTGTTGCTTATAGCAGGTACCCTAATCGACCTCTTCACTCTATGTTTCCTGCAACAAAGTATAAGTGGATAAGCAAAGAGACAGTGGCCAATGTATCCACAAACAACAAAGGAAGTGAGTACATTGCACGATGAATTATTCAAGCGAAAGCTAACCTCTTCTTAGAGCAATGACATCTACTGCTGCTGCCGCATTTCATGCTCCCATCCTCTCCTCGGCCAGAGCACTTCCTCTTATGCTGCGAGTTCTGATCAGATGAGCGAGCCGCCCCGATCAAATGGAAAGCATTCGCATCCAAGTTAGCCACGCTCCCATCTATACTCAGCGAAGAAATGAAAGACCTCGTAGACGACATGGTGGGCGTGCAGCTAGAGCTATCGAAATTCAAGCTTATGCCACTATTGCTCCTATGGTACATCATCTCAGCTTGGTGTTTCATTTGTTGCTGGAGCTGTAACTTCTGCTGCTGCTGGAGAAAGTGATAGTGTGCTGCTGATGGTGTTTGCTGGGCTAAATTTAGAGGGCCTTTACCATTGGAGCTCAACTCCAAGTTCGGGTTACCTAAAGAAAGAGAGGCTTTGGGATGTGTATTGAGTTCTTGAATTGCATTTTCAGGGTAATTAGGAGGGAGGAGTTGGAGACTCTTTGAAGATTGGTCAGTTCTAACAATAGGGTTGTCCAAGAGGGCCTTCTGGGGCAAAGGGGTTGGGAGTTTCTTCAACTTCCTAACTCTAGCATGACCCAAGCAAGTATTGAGAAGAGAAACCACTCTCTTGAACCTGAATACAGCATCACCAGTCTCGAGCATCAGATTTCTACACTGAACCTGATCTTGCGGCTGAGACAAGAGGCTCAGAACCCTGTGGCAGCTCTCCACAGCTGCTCTATTAGCTTCTTCAACCTCCTCCATCTCAAACCCGCCACACAAAAAATCCCTAATTTACCGAAACTTACAAGCTAAACCAACTCGAAAGCCACAGCATAATTTCCTGACAGCTCTTAAGGAAAAATAATCAACACAAGATCTTGAATATAAAGGACAGAGACCCACAAAGTCAAAGTCCCATTTCAGCAAAGCTGAGGACCCAGATAGACAATTTCTTGTGAAAATTCTAAAAACAAAGAAGGCCCTTTTTTTCCAGAAATAGAGACGAACCGGTAGATCATGCCGAGCTGGGCATAGCTATCTTTGACAAGAGAAAAAGGACCTTAAATCCAAGCACAGAATCCACCATACCCATCTCTCATCAGATCAAACTTGCCAGTTTCTTCAAGCAAGAAAACACCCAAGAAGAGGCATTTTTTTCCTGGTGGGCACCCGGTGCCTAATCAAACCCTAGAGTCTCTTCATCCACACTCGAGGCAGAACAAGAAGGAACAAGAAGAAGTAGAAGAAGAAGAGGTGGTGTGAAAGAGAAGACTTTTTCGCTTCCTACGCCTGAAGAAAATTCACACGCCCACAAGAATATTAAACAAAGCTCCCCCTCCCTCTTCCTCCCTCCTCCTTCCTCCTCCTCCCCTTCGCTTTTCTTTTCCTTCTTTTCTTTTTCTTCTTTTTTGGTCCCTACAATAGTTTTCTTGCAAAGCTCGTTGTTTTTTCTCTAGAGGAAGAGAGAGAGAGGGTAGCATTTAAATAAGCTGGAAGATCAGAGGGAGAGAGATGGAAACTGCCATCTCTGTCACAGATATTGAAGGCGGGGCCCTCCATACGACCTTTGCTTTCCCACTTCTCCCTTCCGTCTCTCTCTCTCTCTCTCTCTCTCTCTCTCTCTCTCTCTTTCCTTATTTTCCTCCCTTTTCCTTTTCTCTTTCTGCCTCTTCTCCTGAATTTCTTTGCTTTTTCGATGGAATTATTGTCTTGTCTGCATTAATGGGACTACCCCATTTTAAAGCTTTGAGTTCTGTGGATGCTAATCAATGCTCATGGTCTTTTCATCTCTCCTTTTCATTTATTGGGTTCTAAAAACTGCAAATTGGGTTGTTGAATTTAGCTCTTGCTACCAGAGGTTGGACCATTCTTGTGCTTCTTGTATGTGGTTGAACTACTCTCACAAAGCTTGCTTTCGGCACCAATGCCTCCTCTCCTTGTAACGGATCTTTACTCCGTACTTTTGCAGCAAATTTGCCTCCCTTTCTTTTTTGTGAGGCAAAGCTTAAAAATTGAACTTGAGCCCATACTGTTGAGGATTTGAGACAACCCTTTTAGACATTTGCTTAAGAAGCCGAAGGATTAATCCGGGTATTGGTGATAGTTAAATCACAAAAGAATAGATTTCAGTCGTTTATTGAAATATTTTGAAGTGTGTGTATGGTATGAATTTTTGTGTCGAAAGCGTTATAAAATGCCTGAGGATACAACGTTCTTTAAGACGGTGGAACGGTCAAAGGACCTTAGAGAATTTCGTCCGTTTCAACTCAATTCGTGATTACGTCGTGAGAAGTGTGATCGCAAATTCAAATTTCAAATGAAACAACTATCCTATGGCCATATAAGGGGAATATTTTTGCTAGGATCATAGTCTAGTGGACCAGATCAATAATGACTATTAGTCGTGTCGGTCTCACCATATTAACATCCCTCATCGTATTTGGTCCGTAAATCGAGTTCAGGTAAAAATAATTTCTCACTTTAAGGCAACTAATAATCCTCGATTACTATGAGAAAGTGAGGCTGACATGACATAATCGATGAGATCACATTGAGTATTTAAGAGACGCTCTGCACATGAATATCGTTAATGCTATTGTTTGAGAAACTAAATAATAATAAAAAAAGGTCAAATTTCAAGATAGCGGCTATTTGATTATAAGTGTGATCAATATTTTAAAAATCAAATATTATTATATTAAATAATTTCCACTAGTTCTTTAAGTGAGCTCCTTCCTTAATATAACCGATTTTCTCACGCCATTTTCGTGTATAAACCCTGAAAACCCGTTGTCAAAACTTTTAACGTATAATGGGGTCCCCAGAAAAAAAGAATTAACAAACCAACTGCGTGTAAATTGTTATAGGTCAGGATCACTTGCATAGTTCAAAAGTTCAAACTTAACAAGTTCATAAAACTTGCAGGGTGTCGTATAAACCTCCCGATAATCAAATCCCTGCGCCCGTACTCTTCAATTATAGTAAGAAAATTACACTCCTCATGCATGAGCTCGTTCAATAATGCGATTTGCCGCGATGAATCAATCACTATTACGAGCTTGGTTTGTAGAACTATCCTGGATCAATCCGAGCAACCTCATAATGACTATTCATCGAGGCTACAATAACTATATTTTCCTTTTGGAGCACCTTCTTAATGTGTCGTTAAGTACTTAGTTAGGAGCACTAATTGATTTGAAGACAAAAGGAAACACGCTTATTAACCAAAGGGTTAATACCACGAAAAACCCTAAACTGATACACCTGTGACAAATTTACCTCAAATTAATTTTTTTACCACAAAAAACCCCAAACTGGTATATTCGTGATAAATTTACCCTCCGTTAGTTTCCTTTAAATTATATTATAACCACGAAAAACCAACTTGGTGACAAACAGAGGGTAAAACCCTAAATTGGTATACCAGTCAATTGCCACATGTAATCCAACTCAACAATTTGATAGTAAATTTTAACGAAAACTAACAGAGTGTAAATTTGTCGCAGGTGTGCAGATTTTGGATTTTTTGTGGTCAATAAATTAATTTTGGGATAAATTTATCATGATTGTACCAATTTGGGGTTTTCCATGATATTAACTCTTAACGAAAAGCTATGGAATCTTATGAAAGAAAAAGGAAGAAGAAGAAACCAGTCATCTCAATTTAGCATGTATTCAAAGGACACCCTTTTAACAATTTTTTTCTTTTCTGAATAGTATCGTGACAATCGAAATTTGATTTTTATGTGATGCGTAAAATTTTAAAATCATTCGAAATATGAAAATATTGGACCGTAGAGTCATTTCTCTTGAAATCATTTTCGTGTTTCGGTTAATTTGCAGGGAAAAAATCTTATATTCCGCTTCGATGTTGGTCCATGCAAAGCTTGGAAATAGTTCCAAGTAAAGTTACTTTCTTATCTCTCAGCTAATGATTAAACGAGTACTAATCATACTTAGCACGTCGTGCTACACTTGAATAAAATGTCAATTCAGCTTTCGCTCGTTCTTTCATGGAATATTTGACGCCAATGATTGGACTAAAATCCACTTAAAAATTTTATCTTAGGACTTCAGTATTTTTTTTTTTGTAAAGTTGCGCCCGCACGGTGTCTAACCAACCCTCGTGCGCCTCGATCAGCCCACCTTTCCCCACGATAACAAGGGCGAATACCCCCGCTCGGCCTCGTGTATTCGGAATTTTATTTTTTTTATGTAATTCTTTTAATAACTAATCCATAAGTTTAACTTATGCAAAAAGAAATCTTTTAAAAAATCACATAAAATAAATGAATAGTGCTAGAAAACTCTTTTTTCTAGGGGTGGGACTAGGAGGCAAAGACTTTTTTTAACGAGTTAATATCACGAAAAACCCCAAATTTATACATTTGTGATAAATTTACCCTAAACTAATTTTTAGGTCACCAAAAAACCTAACCCGGTACATTCGTGAGATATTTACTCTCCATTAGCTTCCGTCAAATTTTACCGTGAAATTACCGAGCTAGTCTATGTTGATATACATATCGGTTTCAGGTAAAATTTTCACATGTATATCAATTTGGGGTTTTTGGTAACCCAAAAATTAGTTTGGGGCACATTTGTCACAGGTGTATCGATTTTTATTTTCTGGTGATCAAAAAATTAAATCGAAGTAAATTTATCACAAAATATATTAGTTTTGGGGTTTTCGTGATACTAACCCCTTTTTATTTAGCGATAAGTAAGTGGTACTATGAGTTTTTCTTGTTCTTTTCTTTTTGACTTTTTTCTTTATTCCTTTGGAGTGTTTTTTTTTTCTTTTTTAACTTCTTTCTTTCTTTTTTCGAAAAAAAGAAAAAGAAAAAAGAGCACTCCCTTTTTCTTTTCACCGCTTGTTAGAAAGTCCGCCGGGAGGCCGGAGACCCCACAAGGGGACACCGCCCGAGACACAGCCGAACGGGGTTCCCACTTCCCATAGAGCCGTTGCGGCAGCGGCCAATAGCCTCACGCCACGTGTCCGGTCCCCCAACCCCCCCGGGGGCGGAGGGGCGGACACGTGGACCGGGGCGTGCTCCCGTTTGACCGCCACCCGGCGGGAGGGACGAAAGCGCTGCCGCCTTCTAACATGCGCCAACGGGGGTAGGTTTAGATTCGGTGACTCGGGACAAGCCACGTGGGACCCCACCGCGGGCCCCCACTGCCGTTGACTCCTTCGCTATGCGTGGATTGAGACACGCATCCCACTGCCAGTTCGATTTGGTTTTTTTTTTTTTTTTATCTCGTACCTTGTGTAATTGGAAATCTATTTGTTTTACGGTTAATACTACAAAAAATCCTAAATTAATACATCTATAATAATTTTACTTCGAACTAATTTTTGACCTCCAAAAACTCTAAAATAGTATACTTATGACAAATTTACCTCAAACTGGTAAACCTATGATAAATTTACCTCAAATTAATTTTTTGACCACAAAAAATCCTAAACTGGTACACTTGTGACAAATTTACCCTCCATTAAATTGGATTAATATCACAAAAAATCACAAATTGGTAAACTTGTAACAAACAGAAGGGTAAAACCCCAAACTGGTAAATCGATCAACTACCACGTGTCATCAAACGTGGCAATTTGATAGAAAAATTGAACGGAAACTAATGGAGGGTAAATTTATCACAAATGTATCAGTTTAGGGTTTTTGGTGGTCAAAATATTAGTTCAGGGTAAAATTGTCATAGATGTACTAATTTGAGGTTTTTGGTAATCAAAAAATTACTTCGGGATAAAATTATCACAGGTGTACCGATTTTGGTTTTTTATGGTCAAAAAAATAGTTTGGGGTAAATTTGTCACTGGTGTACTAGTTTGAGATTTTTCGTGGTATTAACCCTTTGTTTTATGCATGCTGGGAAAAAGGGATAAAAAAAAGTAGGTTTATTTTTAAAAAAAAGAGATAATGATACAAACAATTCCCGAATTTTGACTCAATATTCAATGTGGTCCCTGAACTTTTAATTTGTTCAATGCAATCCCCGAACTTTAACCGAATATTCAATGTGGTCCCTGGACTTTTGTTACATGTTCAATAAAGTCCCTGCACCATATGAAAATATTCAATATAATCGCTGAACTTGAATAATTGGAAAGACTACATTGAACATTTTCGTATAGTTTAGGGACTAAATTGAACATGTACCAAAAGTTCATGAATGACATTGAGCAAATTAAAAGTTCAGGGACCATATTGCACATTCGGTTAAAGTTTAGAGACGAAATTAAACAAATTAAAAGCTCATGAACCACATTGCACATTGGGCAAAAGTTCAGGGACTGTTTGTGTCATTTTCCCTTAAAAAACCCTAATTTTAGCCCTAATCTCAATGCTACCCTAAA